GTTGAGCACAATGAGACCGAAGAACTAGCTCCTGGAGCTACCTTGAAGGGGAGGAAGAGCACCTCCAGGGCCATCCAGATCTGTCTCCCATCCATTCCCATCACTGGTGACTCCTGCCGTAATGTCTCCTCTGGCCTCTGGTTCACAGGGGTGTGTGCAGTGAATGGGCTCCTGTATGTGGTTGGAGGGGATGATGGATCCTGCAATTTGGCTTCGGTGGAGTACTACAACCCTGTCACCGACAAATGGACGCTGCTGCCAACCAACATGAGCACGGGGCGGAGCTACGCAGGTCAGTGCGCTTCACTCCGACTCCACCCTCACCTCACCCCACCCCTGAGCAGAGGGTGTGGGGTGGGGGTGGACGTGAGTTTGCTGAACTTGGGACTAAGCGCCTTCTCCAGAGAGGGCAGATAATTGTCACATGTCACCCACCACTCTTCCATTCTGTGCCCATGACACATACCCATAATTAGCACTGTTTTCCCCCAGCGAACCTGAAGGTAGCCCCAGAATTCTCTTTGACACCTGTGTTCCAGGGAGCCGCTTCCAACTACTCTGATTTGTCATAAGAGGTTTTAGAATTTCATTGCCATTTCTGGGCTCCTAGATAGAGTAAGATACAGTTCTTGCCTTACACAAGTTTAATTGGAAAGATAAGGTCTGTCTCCATGAAATAGGACATACAAGGTGATGTCCTCATAACTTCTAAATGGAATGTGCTCTGCTGTACATATTTTAGGACACGACAGGTGACAACTTCCTGGAGGAAATGGGGCATGATTAAACTTTGGGGGGGGGCTCCCATCATACAGCTCACTGCCCTTTGCCAGGTGCTCCCTCCCTGTGCCACAGGGCAATGTGTTTGGTACAGCATGTACATTTGCTGTCATCTTTTCAAGAACCTTCTGGATGAATGGGACTGTATCTTTCCATTTTATAGATGATGAAATTGAGGTTTGGAGAGTCTTAAGGAACCTGCCCAAGACCACATAGTTTTAAAAAAAATGGCGAAGTCAGAATTCAGACTCCAGTGTGACTCCTGAGCCCGTGTCCTTTGTACTACCCCAGCTGAGGGGGAGAAACTATTCTGGGCATGAGACTGGAGGGAGGAATAGGAATGAAGCCAATGTAGAGGCTCATTCCTGGGGAGTGTGTGATGGGTTTGGTGAGGCCTGGGAGGTCGGACCACAGTGGGTGCTGCTGATGGCAGGGGCATGTAGCCCTGCTCCTTGTATCTTGTCTTCCAGGAAGTGGAATAGTTAGGGCTAACAGTTATTTACTGAGCACAGATGAACATGCCAGGCATTACCCTACGTATTCTACAACCACAATCTCCTTTAGTCTACCCCACGACTCCAACAGCATTCTTATTCCCTTTTTATATTAGAAGGTCAATCACTCTGTCTTCTTTGGATTTCTGTGCAGAGGAAGATTGTACCATGCAGGCTTAAAGGGGCTCCTATCACATTTTGTCAAGACAGGTCCTCAATTGCAGCAAACTTAATTTATTTTTTTTCCTCGTGTAGGATTTTTCTCAACTAAATATAAAAGATGCTAGAGGTATTTTGGTCTTAGAGTGAGTGATTCTTTTCTCAAGATTAATTATTAAAACCAGTACTTTCATTTTCTTTTCAAAGCTGTAGTGGCAAGACCAGGGCATTTTCGAGTATGAGGCAGCGAGGCCAGTGAGGGACCCTCCCTTGGCTCTTATTGGGCCTTAATGAGAGGGGAAGGTTTAGGTATAAGTGGTTAGAATTTCATATATGTGCTGAATATTTCATGTCCACTCCTTTATTGTCTGTCCACTCTAGAAGCAGGTGAGAAGGATGCAAGCAAACGTGCAATTTGTGTTAAAGTCCATTGACTGAGTGAATCCATTTTTTTTAAGAATCTAAAGAAATGGTCTGAAATGTAGAGATTTATGGATAGTTATTGTTTGGAGTATTATTTATGATAGCAGAGGGCAGAGAGCTACTTAGTGTCTGCCATCAGGGAAGTAGTTAAACTGTGGAATATTTTTTACAGTGGAAGTGTTCTTAATGTCATAAGAACATGTTTGTGACAGGCTGTTAGGTTAAAAATGGAGAACGCACAAGGTATGTACCACTTGAGCTCACTCAGGTAGTCCTGGGGTCACGGACGTTTGAAGAGCTACCACCTAAAAAAATGGATATTGGAATCAGATCTGAATTTGAGTTTCAGTTCTGCTACTTGCCCTGGAGACTCTGGGGTGGGTAATCCGTCTGAGTGAACCTCTTGTATTCTCATTTGTAAAATGAGAATAAAATCATACCACATCTCTTATAACTTGTGTGCGGTAATACGTGGAACACTTAGTACTGTGCCTTCCCTGGCACGTAGCATCCCCTTGGTAAATGATCAGGATTATTTTTAGAAGCCAGGAAATAGTCCAAAAAACATTAAAAAAACATAAAGAAAATTTTTTAAATGGTGATTCTCTTTGTATGAAGGGATTAGAAAATTTCTTTACCTTGTGTTCTTCTGCATTTTCCAAATTTCCCGTAATGAGAATATTTTACTTTTATAATCAAAAGAAGTTTATATAAAAAGCAATATAGGAACCTACTTTTAAAAAAAAAAAACGCTGCCTTATGAAAGAGATTCCCGAGGTACATGCGAGATGTTCTCAGGGTCAGGCAGCCCATCTGGGTCTGGAGACTCTGCTGTTGCCCACCTCAGAGCTTTTCTGCTTGCACCTTTATCCAGAATTCATTTGCAATGGATATCTTAGCACAATCTCACCACATGGGTATCCTGGCATTTCTTTTAGCATTGTTCTCTCAATCTCATCTGCAACCAGATTTTATAGCCATGGGAATATGTTAAAGTGAGGCTCTAGTTACACTGTACCAATAGACCTTACCTGTAAATTAGGATTTTGTTCAGTTGCAGATATCTGAAAAACTGACAGGTTCTTGCTTAAATAAGTAAGGCGTGTTATTTGTCTTAGGCAGAAAGAAGTCTAGGGCTGGCCAAGGGGCTCAGACTGTCGTTGGAGAACCAGGTTTCTCCTCCCTTTTCTCTTTTGCCAGCTATACCAGTAGTTGCCGCTGCTGCCTTGGGCCCTATGTAAGCATTCTCTGAGGTGGGACAAGGGACACAGGCACAGCTGCAGCACTGGCAGATGTGCATTGACAATGGTCTTGGCTGGGACTGGGTCACATGGCACTTCCTGCTGCAAGGGAGTCTGGGAAGCTGAGTGTATACGGTGCTATTCTCTGCAATAGAGGACAGCATGGAGAAGGGAAGTTGGATGAATCAAGCGACGGTATCTGCCACGTTACAGAGATTCTAGGGTCATCTGTGGATTCACAAAGTTAGCTGTGGAGGATGGTTCAACTTGGCTAAAACCGTTAACACACACAGACATGTCTGGTTTTTTTTTTTTAAGTTTATTTATTTATTTTGAGAGAGATCACGTGTGAGAGTGGGGGAGGGGCAGAGAGAGAGAATCCCACGCAGGCTCCAAGCTGTCAGCAACAGAACCTGATGTGACACTTGATCCCAAGAACTGTGAGATCATGACCTGAGCCGAAATCAAGAGTTGGAAGCTTAACCAACTGAGCCCCGCTTTGAGGTGCCCCTGGAGTGTTTTTCCAAGTAGAATTTAGCCTTAGAGGGGTCTTTCAGTTGGGTGACCTTAAATAGTATGGGAGCTGAGCCTAAAGAGGTAAATGGACTTGCCTGAGGCCAGAGTGCAGCTTGAGTGGTGGCAGAGCTACAAGTGGAATTCGGTTTATCTTACTTCCATGAAGTCAGTCCAGTTTCACTTCATATTCAGTGTCTCCTAAATGTAGGCACGAATCACTGTCACTTCTCTTAAAGTGATACAGATGTAGATCTGTGGAGCCGCCTCTGGGGGTCTGGTGAAGGTGCTGAGTGTTGGTCAGCTGAGTCCTGGGATCAGGAAAGGAGTTGTTACCATAGAAACTGTGTACATGTGATGATGCAGGGGCTGGGGGTGGGAGACCACTAACATGTGGTGTTGAAGGACTGTGCTTGTGGGTTCAAGTATCTTGCTGGGAGTTGGCCATGAGAGTGGGAAAGTGCCAGCCACTGGCCGGCAGCCTGAGTCCACAGGCCCTTCCGTGTTTGGATACAAACATGCCCCTTTCCCTTGCCTGGGGCCCTTGGGATGGCTTGGACTCATGAACTCCTTGGGACTCTGAATAACTTTGGAGAAGCTAAGTTGCTAACTCTCTCTCCTCTTCATCTTAGGTGTTGCTGTGATTCACAAACCCTTGTGACCCCAACTCCCACTGCCAGGAGGTGTGGGAGGGGAGGGGTGCTGCCTGTGACTGACAACGGCAGCACCATGATGCTGGGGGGCCACTTGCTGCAAGAGTCTGCGGTGGAGCCTGAAGTGCCCTCCTCCCATGTGGCGATGTGGCAAAGTGCGTCCAGCGTGAAGGCTGGTGACCTGCCTCCTCCCTGAGCAGTGGGTTCCTGACAGCTCCAGCACCTTTGGGCTTTTTATGTGTGTTTCTATGGGAATACCTGAGAACCTGAAGTGTGTGTATATGTGCGTGTGTGTGTATGTGTGTAGACCATGGTGTTTCACTAAGTTGGGGGATGTGTGACAATCTACTGGATTTCTTTACTACTGATCCTTCTATGCTAAAATCAAATCACAGAAACCTCTCTTCTGGATTTGCCCCATGGGAACCCTGAGATGACTAAAGCTGCTGTCTTCTGGAGGCCAGAAATGTCCAGAAGCAACTGGTGAGAGGGGCATTGCCCTGACCATGCCTACATACTGGCCTTGACTACTGGCACTGTCTGCAAAAGAGCTGGGCATTCTTGAATCTGTACCATGCCCTCTTTGTGCTAGAACTGGGAACAGATGGGTTCCCCAGCTCCTCCCTGGGCTCTGCTCCAGGAAGCAGATGACAACTGCCTAATCCTTGGGCCACTGGTCTTTGATGCGTGGATTCAGGTTAAGGAGAGTTTGTGTCTCTTCAGCTGGGAAAACTAGCTCTTTGGAGAAGCCCTGAGTGACACTGGAGAAAAAAAAATCTATATATACATGAAAAACAAAAACAAAACAACAAACCAAAGTGGTAAGGTAGTTCCTGCCTGAAATGGTCTGAGTGGATCCTATTTCTGAGTTTTCCTGTGATAGGACGGACCCCCATATATACTGGTTATCTAGGCTTAATTATTCACAGCATCCCATTTTACTCTCAAAAGTGTTCTGGTTTGGAGGATAAATAAAGGGTCATCGTACCTCCAAACCCAAAGATAGTTTTGCCCCTGCTTTGGGTGGGGTCATGTGTGATTTAGGTGGACACGGATGACTTCAAAGGAGTATATATCAGCTGGGGCTGGCCCTCAGCACTTGATGTCAGTGGTCAGTTGGCCAAGTCTGTCCAATGTCCTCATCTTCCTTTTCTTGTGCTCTCCCCCTGTTCCAGGGTCTGTACCCTTTCTCCATCCTTTGGAATCCTCCCCTCCTTGTTTTTCCTGAGAGGGAGGAGATGGTGATAAATGCCCTGGATGAGTGATCTCTCTCAGGGATATTTACGTTTTAAAAGAGGAGCTTGATAAGAGCTTTGATAATTCACAGGTAAAAATTAATGGCAGGATTTCAAGCATCTGGAGGGGGCAGATATTTAAGGGCATATGGAATCATTTTCATTGAAAGAAAGAAAAAGAAAAAGGAAGGAAGGAAAGAAAGAAAAAGAAGGGAAGAAAGAAAGAAAGAAAGAAAGAAAGAAAGAAAGAAAGAAAGAAAGAAAGAAAAAAAGAAAGAAAGCAAGCCTTTCCTAAAGGAGTAAGTAGTTTATGTTGGAATTTGTGGCATCAGGAGGGAAGGCCTTGTGTCTGGAGAGTTGTGTCACACCGTGGGGGCTGGAGTTTAACCCTCCCTGATTTGGGGCCCACTTACAGGAGCCAAAGGGCTTTCTGAAACCTGATGTTAGACTTCTGATATACCTGGGGTACTTCCAAGCAGATACTGCAGGAGACTGGCTTCCCCCCAGCTCACCCCTGCAGTTAGAAAGCCACTAGCCTCCCTAGCTGGTTGGCTGCTTTGTGTATTTACTGTATATTTTTTGTGCACTAAACACTCAACTTTCCTGAAGAAGAAATGTCTTCCAATGTTGAGCGGATGTTATTTCAGTGAGACATTTGGAGAGCAGCACCAAGGCATCCAGAATTTTTAGCGGCTTTGGGAAGAGGCTAAACTACCAGTAGCTTTGCTGAGCCTGGAGGAAATGTCTCTAAAGGAATCAAAGCATGCCTTCAGTTGGGTGCTGTGTTCTCAGCTGGCCCTGGAGATGGCTGGTTTCAGAGCCCTGCCTGGCTCTGGCTTGGAAGCTGATGGAATGAGCGTTTGTTGCAATTGTTCTTCCTCTCTGTCAGAGGAAGGTTTGGGACTTTGTTTTGGTGTGCGGTCGGGATGAGGTTGGGGGTTGGGGTCCGATATGTGCTATTCATACAGCTCCCGACTTCAGATTAAAGGTGCACTTCCCACCCATTTCCCAACACCCAGGAGCTGGACTTCCATGCTTTTGTGGGGGACATTATGTTTTTCATCTTCCCTGAGAGCTAGCCAGCCCTGTTTTCTGCTTTCGGAGTTTTGCTATTGGTTCCACCTCCCATCTCCCTTTCCGGAAGCACTGCCCCCTGCTGTTAGTACCGCTGAGGCCATGTTCATTTCATCCTCGCGTGTCCTTTCTCACGGGGACTAGAACACTGGTATGTCACCACCAAAAAGCCAGTCTGCTCTGGCTGCCCACAGATGCCATTTAAAACCTGCTGTCTCTTTATCACCAGGTACGATTCTCTCTCTAGTGGACACAACAAACTTGTTTTCAAGTCTGTGCTGGCCATGTGGTAGGCGAACCCTTCACCCCCGCATCGGGGTGGCTGCCAACTGCTTGTGAATGCAACTTTGCCGCTGGTAAATCTGAAAGCTGATCACAGTAATGAAATGGAATTGCAGCCCAAGGTTAGAAGCAGCTTAGACGCCACTTGGATACTGATTTGGACAACACGGAAGTCAGACTCTGAATTCCAAAGTTCTTTCTCCTAAGTACCTAATGGCATCTTTCTTTCTAAAAAGTTGCAGTATTATGCAAATGACAGTGACCTCATTTTCTGCTATGCAATAAGAATACTTAATTCTCTTTCATGACAAACCAGTTGCAATATCCCCCAGCATGCTTTTTGAGCTCTCTTACTTTGATATCTGTTGTGTAATGTTTGTATATTCCTGAGCCAGATCCTTTCAAAGATTGCCTTTTTATAAAATTGAAGCTAAAGCTTTCAGGCTAAAATTTTAATGTAGATATTTTTATAAGATAATTTTTTAGGATATTTGAATTGATTTTTATTATCCATGATGATGAAATGTTCTGTTCCATTAGTCATTCACTATCATAGTTCATGGCTGTAGCTATTTTCCCTTTGTTTCCCACTCTCCAAAAACTGATTTTTCAGTAGTTCTCCAGAGATGAGTCTCTTTGACTTTGAGTCCTCTGTCTCAGACCATATTCAAGGGAGAGTGCCAGAAAACTCAGTCACTGGTGTTTCTTGAATTGCTTAGGGACTAACGTTTAGCCTGACTTGGCAATTAGCCATCTAGATTCCCTGTCCACTTTTTTTGGAGTTGGCTTTCTCTGCAGGGGTGAGGCTGGTTGGCCCATCTCCTGGTGGCTGTCACTGCCTGGCATTAAGCTGGGCGCACTGTGGCATGGAGACGCTCCAGAGAAAGCCCTGCCCTCCAGTACATACTCCCAAGGGTTTCCTAGGTCCAGCAATCCAGTCCTCATTCTTTTCGATCTCCTCGTTCTTCTGAAGCTTCTGCCAGCTAAAGGCCTTTGTTGCTGGATGATGTCCCTTTTGGAAGTAGCTTGTCTGTGAACTTTAAATGAGGGGTCACTATTCATGATCTTTAAGAATGTGTTTAGCATATGCTTTACAGATGCTCACACTACACCTGAAACTTGTTTCTTGAGCTGTGTCTGTACTCCCAGGCTCTACTTTGTGTATTTATCTGCCATTAGCCTCATTAAAAAAAATCTTTATTTTTATTATTATCGGGACAGGTGCCATTTGAATTGCCTCCATGCTCCCCATTTGCACCTTGTTGGATCAGGTTGGGAGGTTGAGCAAACTCGTATTCTAAGCTGGAGTTTTTAAGGCTTTGTTTGCCTGGAGAAGCAAGGAGGTTGGAATGTATTATTATTTTTTTAAGTGTTTGCACTATTTAGAGTCCTAAGCCCCTCATGTTTAGCTGTGCTGTGTGTGCTGTGTGACCAAGCAGGTGAGCCAGCAGCACTTTGGACATTTGGGAATGGAAGAGACTTCTTCCATAGTGGATAATCACAACCTCGTAGCCCCTGCACAGCCTTTGTCATGGGCTGAGTGACGTGTGGGTGTGGCATCAACCCAGGCAGGAATGCATGTGACTGTGGCATTTGAAGAAACAAATTGCCCTAGTACTATTTTCTTGCCTCTGCTTGAAATTGAAAATTATTTCCCCCCCTTTATGGTGGCAATAAAGGACCCTTGTTGGACTTCTTGTTTAATTTGTATATGACATAGGAAATACTTCGAAAGAAGACTCAAGACACTGAATGTGTATGTCTGTGTGGGTGCTCTGTCCATGTGGTTGTCCATAGGCAGGCAGACTTGATGACTAACAGCCTGTTAACACATTGCATCCGTAAGGTCCTTGCTTTGGTATTCTCTGCTAGGATGTTAGAGACCATATATCTTGTAAAAGAACGCTCATCATGTGCTCCATCAGTTACAGTGATAGCTGAAGAAACTGTTACTCAAATGCATTATTTTAACAGGAATCAAGTTCTAGTTTCCCATACTCTATGTGACTTTAATTTTAATAAAATCTGAACTGTGAAAACTTTTCTCAGTATTTAATTTCTATAGTCTGGACTGTCCACTGTATCTCAGACATGAAAAGGACAGACTTATTCCCATGTATCTTCATAAATTTTTTTTTTCAACGTTTTTTATTTATTTTTGGGACAGAGAGAGACACAGCATGAACGGGGGAGGGGCAGAGAGAGAGGGAGACACAGAATCGGAAACAGGCTCCAGGCTCCAAGCCATCAGCCCAGAGCCCGACGCGGGGCTCGAACTCACGGACCGCGAGATCGTGACCTGGTTGAAGTCGGACGCTTAACCGACTGCACCACCCAGGCGCCCCTTCCCATGTATCTTCAGATGAGGCCCTTCTTCAGTGAGGCTCAGAGAGGCCAGTCCCTTCAGTAGGTGTTGG